TTCATTAAAAAGTAGTAGCATACTATTAATGGACCTAAATTAAAGATGCAAATGAGAGGAAGACAACAGACTTTCCTTTAATGCAAAAGTTTTCTTCTTTTTTTGTGTGTGTTCTTAAGGCAATAATATTTGGGTCCCACTAAGTTTCTCAAATTCCTAGAAGACCAAAGTCATGAAGTTGGCCACGACACGTGTCTATGTTTGTATTTCAATGAAGAAAACACATGTCTTGGAAGTCCTTACTAGTCACTTTCTTTAAATAGTTGACATGTTTGTCATTGACGGTGATATTTGATTTGACACAAAATTTAAGGGAGAAAGAAGACTTTTTAAGTTTAATGAAATAACATGATATTTATGTGGTTATAAAAGTTTCATATTTAAAATAAAAGAGTATAATGTTAAATTATTTTCGAATATAAAAATATATTATTCTTTTCTAAACGAATTAAAAAGAAAAGTGTGTCATTTAAATTGAAATACGGGAGTACTAGCTTTTCAAAATAGAACAATCCAGTTCATATTATTTGTCCTATAAAATTTTCTTACACCCTTTTAAGGTATTTAATAATTTTAATTTTATAAAAATATACTCTTTTTCTCACTTGAATATCTTACTTACGTACTACTTTTAGTCCTCATAATCGGACTTTTAAGGTATTTGAACATCCTTAAAATACATTTATGAGTCGTAATCACAAAAGAGTATTGCCTAAATTACCTCTATCTCTTCCTTATTAAACGTGTACTTAACATCCTCTAATTGGAGCAACAAAGATAGAATAGAAAATAATTATAATAAAAAATGACTTCTTGTTTCTTTAAAAACGTTAAATAATTTGAAATATTTCTTTGTTAAATTCATGTTCTAATAAAAGTCTTCGTTCAAGCCAACCTATATATATATATATATATATATATATATATATATATATATATATATATATATATATATATATATATATATAGTATGCTAAAGCGACTAAGTTTGAGACAAAAAGAAATAATTCATATCTACTATTAAAGCAATAAGGGTAGATTTAGAAAGTAATAAATGATTTTTAACTAAATATATTATAATTATGGAAGAGCGCGGCGGGAGCAGGCTTGGAGTGGCTCACTGGACTATTTAATATTATTTTTAGGACGAAGAAGATGCCCGAAGAATGGAGGTGGAGTACGATGGTTCCGTTGTACAAGAAAATGGTGATATCCAAAATTGCAACAATTATAGAGGTATCAAGCTGTTGAGTCACACTATGAAGGTTTGGGAGAGGGTGGTGGAGGCCAGGGTGAGGATGTGCGTGTTTATTTTTGAGAATCGGTTTGGATTCATGTCGGGGCGTTCGACTACGGAAGAATTCATCTGGTAAGGAGATTAGTGGAGCAATACGGGTAGAGAAAGAGGGGCTTGCATATGATGTTCATTGACCTTGAGAAAGCGTACAATAAAGTGCCGGTGGAGGTTCTACGGAGGTTTTTGGAGGCTAGCGTCGTTCCGGTAGCGTACATTAGGGTGATAAAGGATATGTATGATATTGCTAAGACTCGGGTGAGGACTGTGGGAGGTGACTCGGAGCATTTCCCTATTGTAATGGGGTTGCACCAGGGATCGGCTCTCAGCCCCTTTTTATTTGCCTTGGCAATGTTTGTACTGTCGCGGCAGATCCAAGGGAAGGTGCCTTGGTGCATGTTATTTGCCGATGATATGGTATTGACCAAGGAGACGCGAAGTGGAGTTAACGCGAGGTTGGAGGTTTGGAGACTGACATTGGAGTCTAAAGGATTCAAGTTGAGCAGAACCAAAATAGAATACTTGGAGTGTAAATTCAGTAATGGGACCCATGAAACAAACGTATAGGTAAAGCTTGATGCTCAAGTTATCCCCAAAAGAGCTAGTTTTAAGTATCTCGGGTCTATTATCCAAGGTAACAAGGAGATGACGAAGATGTCGCATATTGCATCAGAGCAGGATGGATGAATTGGAGGCTCGCTTCCGGTGTTTTATGTGATAAGGATGTGCCACCGAGACTTAAGGGTAAATTTTATAGAGTGGTGATTCGACCGACTATGACGTATGTGGTTCAGTGTTTGCTAGTCAAGAACTCCCACGTGCAGAAGATGAAAGTAGTAGAGATGAGGATGTTGAGATTGATGTGTGGGTGTACCAGGAGAGATAAGATTAAGAATGAAGCTATCTAGGACAGAGTGGGAGTAGCCTCCGTGGAGGACAAGATACGGAAGTCGAGGCTGAGATGGTTCGGACATATTAACAGGAGAAGCATTTATGCTCCTGTTAGGAGGTATGAGAGGTTGTCCATGACGAGTTTGAGAAGAGGTCAAGATAGGCCTAAAAAGTACTGGGGAGAGGTGATTAGGCAGGAGATGGCCTCAACTCACTGAGGACATAACCCTTGATAGGAGGGTGTGGTGGTCGAGGATTAGGGTACAAGGTTAGTAGGTAGTTTCTTAGTTGCTCACCGATAGTCTTAGTAGCATGCATGTCCCTTCATATTCTTAGATTTTTATTGCGTTGTGTGGTTTTATTCGCCTTAGGTATTGTATTCCCTGTTGTATTGTTTGGTAGTTCTTATCCTTTATCTCCCTCATTTTCTTCTGTCTTCGTTTCTTGCTTTTCTCCTCCTTCTCCTCCTCCTCCTCCTCCTTCTTATTCTTCTCACCCTTTTCAAGTCGAGGATCTATTGGAAACTGCCTCTCTAGGTCTGCGTACAGAATACTCTCCCCAGACCGTACCTATTAAGAACATACTGGGTTTGTTGTTGTTGTAACTAAATATATTATAATAAATTTAATTGTCAAAAAGACTAATATTTAAGGTCGAAAGAGCACTAAAGAAAGAGATTATAGTCTTTGCCTAACTTAGGTGAACAATATTAAAAGATTAGTGGACGTATATATGTAAAAATATAAAGTAATCTTAAACTTTTACAAAATAATAATAATAATAATAATAATAATAATAATAATAATAATAATAATAATAATTTTACCGTGAATAATTCAGCACAAGATACAGGTAGCTTTAGGTATTACGATTAGTGGCGGAGCTACCTTATCCCTAAGGGTGTCAAGTGACATTACACTGTGTACCTAGGTAAATTTTTTAACGTATATATTACTTACTATATCTTGACTCCCCTTGATTTTTCGTATGTTTATTTCTTTATATTTTGACACCCCTTAGAGAAAATTTTATCTCTGACATTGCTTACCAGAAATAAATTTGTACGCTTAGGAGATTTTGGAGCCAATCAACAGAATTTATTCTCTAAAAAATTTATTTATGAATGACAATGAGCTTTGAACCCTCAAGAAAGTTAATAAATGGGCATGACTAATTTTCATTTAAAAAGAATGTCAAAAGAAGGTTTAATTTTTACAAGTTATCCTAATTTTTAAGTGCATATTTTAATAAAGTAGGGAAACATGGATGATCTTGAATTATTTTCAAGTTGTGTCAATTTGGCTAACAATATTCTAAGATAAGAATATCTTTAATGGAAAGAATGATAATCTAATTAAAAGTTGAATCAACAATTTGGAATGCTGATGCTCTATGCACTACAACAGGAATATGTTCTGATAATATTTCAGCCTTTTTGCTGTATTATAATTGAACAAGAGATTCCATATCATTGTCAAATAATATGTTCCAAGTTCTTGAAACTAGATAAATCGTGTTATTAGACAATCAAATTACATATTTCAAGTAATTAGTTTCACTTCTTATGAGCAATTACGTGTTGTCAAGGATGGAGCTAGGGAATCGCAAGAGGTTCGTATAAATTCCCTTTTTATGTATATATATTAGATGTTAAATCACTTGAGTTTTTCACGTATTTATGTTTTTCAATCTCCTATGTGAAAATTCTACCCTCTACTACTACTTTTTTATTTTTATCCTTTACATGATTTGACAATATAAGTAACATTTAACACTGTCATTATATATAAGCTAAACTCAAAACCAGAAACAAAAGAAGAAAGATATATGGCATAATTCAGAAGTTCACTATAAGTTGGCTACAATATTTTTGCTGTATTGACAAAGACTAGGTTATTAGCAAAAAAAAAAAAAAAAAGAAGAAAGAAAGAAAGAAAAAAAGAAGGCTAGGTGATATTGTCACAAGAGCTTACACTAAAACTCAAGCTGCTGTCAACTCGACTATTTCAGTATGTATTTGCTACCTCGCACTAGCACAAATATCGAGTAACTTTGCCTATCAAAAGTTGCTATCTTCCATCAACACATGAATAAGTCTAAACCATATGAAATAACCACAAGGTCGAAGGTCTTCTTCTAGCGAATAGCTTCCTGATAAATAAATTATTTAAAAAAAATTATGAAAAGAATTCATTTAATATTTATTTTTTCATCGATTCGAATTTGAATCTTGATTTCTAAAATTTTCGTTGTTTATATATCCATTTTGTAATCTGTTAACTATCCATTTCACCACCACTAAATATGAGAATACTATCCAAGCTGTCGTTTTGTATACGAAAAAAGCTGTTGTTTTACACCCTACAATCTTCCATAAAATAATGGATTCATATCATTATTGAAAATGAAAGATAACAAAGTTTCCACTAACCAATTGGTCGTTATCTCAAGCCTATCTCTAACTATGGTCACAGGAAAAGGAAGGAGATATGTTCCACTTTTTATCATTACTTCCATTTTTGGTACATAAGGCAATTTGAATCCCTATGAAAATTGTACTAACCAGTGCATTAAGTTCTCGTTATGAGTGAAGTCCGTAGAAAGAACAAACCACAAGAGTCTATCGTATGCAGCCTTACCTTGCATTTCTACAAGAGGCTGTTTCCACACCTCGAACCCGTGACCTCCTGACCACATGGCAGCAACTTTACTAGTTACGCCAAGGCTCCCCCTCACTAATATGCAACCAAACGTGATGAAAATATATTTGTTATAATGATCCAACTAGGTCCAAAATCACCTTTAAGTCGCCAACTAAAGAATAAGCAAAGTTGTAGGCAATAAATGTAAAAAGAATTGAAGTGAGCTAGTCACTCAGCTCTTACAACTTGAAGTTTCAATGTCAAAAAAATTTCAGCAAAAACTTGAACTTCAGCTACAAATGGACCTAATTTCTATACCATTCTTTAACTACACCAGTCTCCACCAAAAATTACCAAAACTTATTTCAGAAAAAAGAATAGGAAACTAATCTTAACGGTCCACGCCAAGATCATATGAGGAGGTTGTAACAGGTATCATCGTTAACTACTGTAAATCAGAAGGTTTCATCTTAACCAGCAACTCTACCACAAGCCGATGGCCTTCCACCAAATTCCTCCGACTCCAAGCCAGATTATAAGGTTGACGATGGAAATTACAAACCCGTATCCCCACCATTTTGCGAGGGGGACATAGTTTGCACCGTAGAATACAGGTGCTGATCCGATTCCATAGTGAGTAATTCCACCCATAAGGTTCGAGAGGAAAGAGAGCACCAACGCTCCCAAGTACGGTGGAGTACCTAGTGCACTAGCAACGGATAAGAATGCTGTGAACATTGCTCCGATATGAGCAGCTCCACTTGCGAAGAAGTAGTGAGAGTAGAAGTACAGAAGAACAAGAATTCCGAATGACAACTGCCACGAAAGTCCTAATCCACCAACAACCTGCAAAATAGAGCGAGTAAATCAAGCACGAGCGATAAATTAGTGGAGCAACCCCCATACTTGTGGAGTAGTGGACACACAGATGCTTCAGTAAATCAATTGGAAAAAAAAGGCAAAATGGTTTCACCACCTAATCTGTATGAAAAAGTCAGTTTTGTTGCTAATGAGAAAAATGTTCACCTACCCCATAAGATGTACTCGCCACAGACATAGTCACCACAGATAAATGCTTACAGATTTATAGAGATGCTATATTGATGTCTGACCGTGGTACATAACGTTAATAAATAATACAATGTCATCAAGCAGATAAGGATGGAGCAGAAGACTACAAAGTATTATAATCCGGATCAGCGTTCTAAGAGTTCAATACACGAGCATCATTATGAGATAATTTAGTCTTTTATATAAACAAATGCAAATATAAAACTGAAGGATAGCCACACTTCAATTCCACCCAGACTTTTCTCTTACGGTCATGCCAATCAAGGTTACATGTACCTCTTTTTAACTTCCCTCAATACACTTGTTAGTGGCAAGAGAGTGATGTCAAATAACAATTTACTCTACCTAAGATGGTAATTTAAATGATCTTTACAAGGCCTCTCAATAGCTCTTGTTGAGGAGTTTTTGGTCTTTAATTCACACCTACAAAGATATTTTTATGTAAAACCATGCCTTTTCTAGTGCACAGAGAAACACCAGTATCAGTTTTTCTTTCTCTTTTTTTTGGGGGGTCGGTTGGGTTTGGTTTTGGGGTTGTGTGTGTGAGGGGAGG